TAGATTTGAACGCTAGCAGCGATGTTATCTATATCTTAATCTAACTAGTGCACTACTTAACTTTAACAAAGTTTAGTCTGTTTACAACTATGTTTAGGAATCGGGAAATTCAGCTTTGTTATTCACTGAAGTTCTTCACTATAGATTGTGTCTTATATTAAATTTACAATGTCACCACCCGTTCAGGTTTATTACATAGCTGCTCATGTTATTCAACGTTTAATGAATAAACAATAGAATGGAGAAGACCAATGTATTGTTTAATGAAAAATTACAGACTGTATTCGTAAAATGTGAAAATTATACATTAAATACACTATTTGCACATTATCCTTAAGTTGTCATTTACATGCTTCATGATTCTTTTGATTCTGTTGTCATTACAACTATTTTCTGTTTCACTTCCTGATCTCTTCAATTCAATCTTCTCAATCTTCTGCTAGTATGCATTCCACTTCCGATTGCGGTTGCATATTACTTATATCTGTTAACATAATTAACATGCATCACAAACATATATCACTCATAAATTCAAATGACAAATCAATGTGTTTTGTTCAGGTCATTTGCAATCTCTGTAGCTCATCTGTAACGTTTTTGAACAGGTACTGTTTTTAACGTTTTTGGCAAAGTGAATGTTTTGATAGGAATTTTAAAAAAATTATACATTGCTCACGAACAACGGCCTACGCATAACTACAAGCGGTATTAATGGATAACTGTTATCACTTACAGAACATCAAAGCAAATTAGATCAATCTCAGTTTGTGTACAATTAATTTCGGTTACTCTCAAATGACCACTATGTTTTCACAATTTGTTATTATATACATATTAGTTAAAGTGTTAAATATATTGATTATTTATCTTAACATATGTTATATCTTTTAACCGATGATTATAAAAGTTGAAAGTGTAACGTTTTATATTTAATACAGCCTCCAAACAATTTTTGTTAATAAATGAAATGTAGGATTATATACGAAATGTACTCTATAGGTATAAAGAATTAAATGTAGTTTAGTAAAAATGTATATTTCTTTATATAAATTTGACATAGAACAAGTACAATGACAAAAAGATATCACAAGTGTATATTTAAAAAAAAATAAACTAAATGTATGAATATATTACTACTGAAATTTAATGTATACTACTTATTTAATCTTTAGTATATTCATTTGCATACGTTGTAAAACTTTTTTCTCAGAAGAAAAAAAAAGAAGAACTATTCAAAGAAAGATGAATAGAATTTATTGATTGAACATAGTTAGAAGGTCATTTTAAATGTTCATGGAAATAGTCAGTCAATTATGATCAATGTGAGATCTGACTAATATTTTTCAATGTAACCTATGAGATTGACTTTTATAATTACAATTAATAATAATAATAATAATAACAGTTCAATTATTCAGTATTCATTTTATTAAAGGAAATAATTGGATGGTAAATAGAGGTGAGATTAGTTGCTACTTGTATTTTAATTTCTTTATCGATTCACTAAGACTTCTTAGTAGGTTATTATGCAACTACAATAAAAATTGTTTATTTCTATAGAGTATTCAGCTAATATTTGTCGATATGAATTAGGTGAACCAATATTTAATTTACTTTGGCTTCGAAATATTCAGTTATTGATATTATTACTAGACTGTAAGTATATTCAGAGTTAGTATGTTAGAGATTAAGTAATTTTTAACAAACTGATTTATTTAACACATACAAGTGAGTCGATTAATATTGAACTGATTATATGACAACTAACTTATTGAGTAGTTATGAAATTTGTGTATATGGTGGTGCAACTTATATGTTTAGAAGTCGGTTATTTTCATTACTAAGTGATATCATATATTAGCTTATTGGGTATCCCGGTAAATATGAAATCCTGGACGAATGCTTTGTTATCAATAGTTCTGTGAATAATATATTGAAGTTCGAAGTGGAAATTACTGGACTTAAGTTTTAATATGAACAGCAACAATGGGAAGCAGGTAGATTCAGATAGCGAGTCACAAAAAGTAAGAAACATGTGTTCTGTATTAAATTACTGGTTTCAAATCAAATATACTGGGGCTTGTGATATAATTCCATATTGAGGCAGTCTATGAATATTGTTAACATGTCAACAGAAACTAACCATTTACAGTTCTGAATATCAACAACAAGAATCAACAAACCCTCAAGAACTGCATAATCTTTATTTTAGATAAAAAACTACTTATTTATGGTACTGAATATAATTAAAGTTTATATTTGAATCAACTCGCTATTCGGTGGATAGTCTTAATCATCAATCTAAGTAAACAAATTAGTAAGTGAAAATGTGAATGTGAGATATAGTAAGCTGTTCACTCAATTGCTTTGTACAGCGTTCTTTTGAGTTGAGAAGTAGTTTTATGAATCCAGGTTTCAGTGACAATAAAGTATAGCCATTCAAATACTTTAAAAGAAAATTGTTAATTTATTCGCATTGCTAACACCTACCTTGGGGAAAGATATTGGGTTTTAGTTTCTGTTTTATAAAATTCAGATATCAGTGATTCAAGATTGATTTCCTTGATTTAGGGCTAGCATTTCTCCTGTTTTATTTGGCACATGTAAGTCTAGATTTATGCGGGCTTTGTACAGAAATAGAACATTCATTTAAGTCTCATATGTTATCACTATATGATTTACATCAGTTTGTATTGAAAAACAGATTTTCAAAAATATTAACTATTTTCTTTTCAGGTGTTTAATGGAATTATTATGGTTATAAAACGGCTCCTTTATTTTAAAATTCCCGATGAGATAGCCTATAGAAACTGATATATAGAAAAACAAGGTATTTTTTGAAACTTAAAATCTGTTTATTAAAAATTTCTAAACAACATAGTTTGGTGATCAGCTATAAATAGAAAATTTTTAATCATACCTTCAGCTGAAAAATAAATCATCTTCATATTACTACTCATAACATCAGTGTTCAATTAAATAAAGAAATACATACTCAAAACGATTACTGGAGAAACTGACATACCGTAATTATTTAGTGGCGAGTAACTGATGTCAATTCTTTAAGATTTTCATTATTAAATGAAAATAGTTGCTGTCCAATAACCAGTTAAGTCCAACCCATTGAATCGTTTAGATTTTAAACGATTCAACATTAGTATCACTGCTCTCGATTCTAACTTTATGAAGCATCGTAAATTAGAGGCTTTAAATATGCCTTTTTTAATGACTGTTAGTTAAATTCAAACTTATATTCAATACCTCTGAATGATTACACTCAACTGTTCAAGACAAACATTTACAATTTAGAAGTTTTGATTTCGGACACAAAATTTGATTTCAGTAACAAAATATAAACTTATATGTGTAATTTGTGAAGCTTTTAGAGATAATTTTACCATATAAAATAAATACTGAAATTAATACATATTTATATCCTGATGGGAAATGAAAAAGTAGAAGACCAAAGAACACACTGTGAGCAGAATTGCAAGAAGACATGAAAAGGATGAAGACTGACTGAAAACAACTGGAAAGGACTGCCTAGAACAGAATTGGAGGGCGAATGATGTTGAGCAACTTATGCTCCTCCATAAGGGGTAACAGGTGGCAATAAGCAAGCAAATAAGTAAGAAAATAATCTTATTGAGACATTTTCATTCTTAACATAATATGCATATATTTCTTGGCTATATGGAAATTGAGACCTCCTTTATGAGTTCAAAAATAATTTGTCGTTACACTTAACCTACCCTGGTAATACTGGTTTATTATCCAGAATGGTAATCACATTTGTTTTTGTATACTATAATATTAATTTTTTCTTTCATATGGCTTACCTTTCACCTGTCTAGTTGACCTTTTAATTTTCATGGTCTTAACAATCCTATTATGAGTATAGGGGTTGTGGAGAATATTAAGTTTTTGATTGAGATCATGAACTGACTGATGTTAGGCCACCGTTGGAAGCGTTCGCGTGCAAGACCGAAGGTCCTGGGTTCGAATCCCGTGGGCGGGATCATGGATGCGCACTGGTGAGGAGTCCCACAATAGGATGAAACAGCCGTCCAGTGTTTCTAGGTTTACAACGGTGATCTAACATCAATCGGTTCATGATCTCAATCAAAAAATTCTATTACGTGTGATCAAATTGTTTGAAATGCATTGAGCGAATGCATCACATAATTTTCATAAACTTCGTCTTCTCATTACACTATCAAAATTTATCAAAGGGACTAATTGTTTCAAGTCATTTACATTAAACTGTAATAACTGCCTGGTTTAATTTATTATTTAATAGTTTTTTATAGATTGTTGAATTAAAAATAAACATTTGATACACAACAGAAGATATTTTAACTAACTATTATGTTACGTTCACCTGGTATTGTTTTTGCTTGTATCGTCCATTGTTATTTAGGACTGAAATTGATCTGTTTCATGTTGACATATGTGCATCCGGTGCGGATCGCCTCGATATAGTATTAATTCACAAGCTTTCTAAGCAAAGATGGATAGCAGCTAGCAGTGGAATCCAGGACGCGCGTTTCGTCCTATTTTGGACTAGTCATCTGGATGTACCTGCTAGCCACTATTCATCTTTGCTTATAAAAGCTTATGAATTAAGGCAATATCGAGGCATACACACAACATGTACATATGCCAATAACATACTGATCAATTGCAGTCTAAAACCTCAATAGGAAGATACAAGTCAAACAGTACCAAGTGAATTTAAATTCACCCCATTGCAAAAGCCAGTGGCTATCAGGACTCAGTAGCTAAGTGGATAACGTGATAGCGTTTGAAGTGAATAGTACTGGGTTTTAGTCTCAGAGTGAACATTAACTCTGAGATTCAGATACATCCATTTGACGAGTCCCAAATAGGAAGAAATGCGCATCCTAGATTTCACTGTTAGCCACTATCCATATGTTATTATGTTGCGTAATCATTATTCGATATATATATTTATATAGAGTTAGTAATATTTCTCTTACCTATTGTTGTAATAATAGTGACAGCAAATAAAATACTTCCTTCAAATGTCCAATTAAAATCATCTGTATGCTCTGATCCATTCCATCCTTCATCTTTTATAGCTATTACAATTTGTTCAACATATTTTGCTAATTTATTTTGTAAATTATTTTCAATTTCAAAACTTTTATTTAAAATAATTGGTAATATATCATCTAATTTTGTAAGTAATATAATATGTTTTGGTAATGAATTAATTAAATTTATTGAAAAATATATATGATCTATTTTAGTATCATTTTTTAATTGTACATTTAATGTATTATTATTATTATTATTATTGTTAGATATTAACATTGGTAACTGTGTTCTTTTATTTAATAATGTTATTGAATTAGTTCTATTCAATAAAGATGATGTAGTTAAATGATATTCATTAGAATTATTCATAGAGTTCACCGGTATAGTATTGGTATCATTTGATAATTTATTGATTAAATTATCTGTTATCGTGTTATTAGGCAATTCTATTTCTTTTTGTATATTAATATTATTAGTATTATTATTAATATTATTAAAATTTATAAGTTGTGTATAATTTTTATGAAACCACCATTGTGGTAATATTCGTTTTGGCCATCCTAATGTTGATAAATACCATGATAAACCAAATAATTGTTGTTTTTGTTCATCTTTTAATATATTAGATAAATAACGTTTATTATTATGATGATTATTTATTATAGTTAAATGTTCAATTGAATCATATAAATTTGACAGATTATTAAATTTTTTACCAAAATTTGTTTGTTCAAATTGTTGAATAATATTTACATGATTTAATATTGTATTTAATAATTCTAATTGAGAATTTCTCCATTCTAATATTAAATCTTTTATTAAAATTGTACGTTTTTCAAACATTTTAAGTTTAATTTCTGATTCATGTTCACGTTCTACAGCATAAAATATTGAACCACCAATTACTGTATAAATAATAACTAGTATAGCTAATCCAACATGTGATAATAAAAATGTGAATAAACGTTTTAAACATAAAATCGTTTCAGTTTTTTTTGAATTCATATTATTGTTATTAACAGAAGTATGTATTGTATCATCTTTATATAATGTTTTAGTATTATATGAAGTTATAGGTACATTAAGTATACTTAAATTGTTATTATTAATAATAGATGTAGGATTAAATGATGATTGTTGATTTAAATAGGTACGTTGAGAAGGTGATAATATTGAATTTACATATGACATGTTTAATAAATTCATTTGATTATTGTAATTATTATTATTATTATTATTACATCTAAATGGATCCGTAATGTTTGAATAAGTTTGATGCACTGAAGCATTCACCTTTTGACTTGAATGTAAAGTTGGATATAATAAATATGATTCATAATTTTTAGAATTTGTGCTCATATACAAGAGTGTGAGAGAGACTCTGGTTATTTGATGATATGAGTAAATAGATTCCACTTTAATGTATAAAATTAAGCATAATTATATCATTTGTTAATCGATAAATCGTGTTAATTTTTAATTCAATTTCTTGTTTTCAATAATACTGATATTTTGAGGAATTTTTTATTTAGGGAAAGTTTCATTTGAATCAACTAACCAATTAAATAGCATAAAAATATTTGGACCAATCAAAATAATCATAAATAATAACCAACATTTTCATATATATATATATATAGAATAACAAAAAAAAATATGGACAATGTATTGTAAAAGTTTGTCACTTATGCATTAAATATTAAAATGTTTTTGTACATATACACAAACATATAAAATTATATCAGACAAGGGTTTTATGGACGTTATAGTAATTTAATAGTTGAAATCATAAATCAATTATAGGTAGACCACCATGTAAAACCTTGAAGCACTGGACGACCGTTTCATTCTATTGGGGGACTTCTCACCAGTACGCATCCATGATTCCACCTCACTAAATTCGACCCTAATTGACTATAAACGAGAAAATTGGGAATTTCATGTTTATCAATATAAGAAATAATACATATGATAATAAACTTCTTATTATTCCACCGAGAAAAAAATTTAACAGTATAAGGATTGTGGAGATTATTAAGTTTTTGATTGAGATCATGAACCGATTGATGTTAGATCATAAGTAGGTTGAGCGTTCGCTCGCGAAACTGAAGGTTCTAGGTTCGTATTCAACGGGAGGGATCATGGATGCGCACTGTTGAGGAGTCCTACAATAGGACGAAACGGCTGTCCAGTGCTTTCAGGTTTTCAATGGTGGTCTAACACTAGTCGGTTCATGATCTCAATCAAAACAAAATTTAAAAAATACAAATTGCTTTCTAATGATAAAACAACAAATTAGTTGTACTGATTATCTACTACTTCTTATTTAATTAATGATAGCCATTATGCTAATTAAATTGTAAACTAATGATGAAAGTGTTAATTTTGTTAATAATCCATGTATCCAAGTATCTACCTTCTTTTTAATAATAAATATGATAAATCACATATTGTCTTTTTTTAATGGGTGTATATTTAATCTCATTCTATTCTATCAGTTAGTGATTAACACTCATTACACTTAAGTCAAATGTTATTACTAACCCAAATGATAATGAAACCGTGTACGTTAAAAATGTTTTAAAAAACACAATATTTAATGAATTTATTATCAATATATTCAATTTCATGAATGTTTATATATATATATATATATATATATATATATATATTGAAGATTTTTAGTCGCCATTGTCTGACTCCAATATGATTAGACGATGATGATAGTATAATGTATAGAGCTTATATAACATGTAACCTCTGTCGACTAATCATATAAAAACAATGTAAAAATAAAAAAATATCGAATATGAATTACATTTAGTATATGTATTTTCCAGACATTCTAATGATCAAACAAACTAAATGAATGAGTATAAAAGTTAAATTGATACAAAAAGGAAAATAATCAAAAACACACTGAATGAATAATCGATGACTTATTCTTTATATAATTACTATTTGCAGTATAGATGTCATACATACAAAGTAAGCAAAGATAAAATCTGTCTAAAGCTAACAGTAACTAGTCAACAAGAATACATTTATAAAAATGGACAATAAATAATATAGGTAAATGGAAATATTCATTGATGAATATAGTATTATGGTGTGTGCTACTAATGTCGATAGATATAAGTAGTATGTATCATCAATCAAAAGTAAAATGTCTGGAGACAGAAGGTTAAGAAGATCAAAGAAAAGAGAACGAGAACAAAGAATGATTGGTATGGAAAAGAAAGAAAGATGAAATTTCATAAGATCGATTGACATTCTGCAAATGAAATTTTCACTGTATGGTTCTCGGATTTTACTAAAAGATTCTGTAATTTTATGTTGAAATACATTCTATTGTCCCCACTTATGTTCTCGTTCACTACACTATAACCGATGAAGGTACAATTAGACATTAAAGGTGAGGAAAATGGTCATACAACAGTTTGTATCAGTCTATCACGCTACGATATTATTTTATAATTCAAGTGTACAGTTGTCACTAACAGTTCCGTGTGCAATTACGAGCAGTAAATAAACTGAATGATGTAACGGATTTTATAGTGCAAATTGTAATAATATAAGTTGGTGTATTATTTACAGTGTGTGTCTAGAATTAAAAATATAATATTAAATGGTAATGTAATTAGAGTAAGATAAGTAAAGTGGTTCTGTCACAATTTTTTAAGCTATTGAGAAGGCTTAAGGAAACGAATATCAGAAATAGTTATGAATGAGATCTTAGGAAGTCTCAAGAATAATTCAAAAAAGATGGTACAATCTCAAATGTTAAACTAATGGAATAATTATAGACTAAGACAATAGTACACAACGTTTAGACTACCTCTTTTGGATAACAATCACTTCTAATATATCGTACTGTCTTAATGAAAATTTTTTGATTGAGATCATGAACCGGTTGATCTTAGACCACCGTTGGAAACTTGGAAGCACTGCCTAAGAGTCCGACGATAAGACGAAACGACCGTCCAGTGTTTCCAGGTTTCCAAAAGTAGTCTAACGTTATTCTGTTCATGATCTCAATCAAAAACTTAGTAATCTCAACAACCCTTATACTATCAATGAAAATTTGTTAAAAAGTGAACTCTTCATTGAAATTCATGTTTTACCATTTTAATAGAAAATAAATTTACAGTTGATTTTTCACAGATAGTTTGTATGCATAAGAGAGTATTTTTAAGACACATATAACTCATTGATAGAATTCACTGTAGTTACTCAAGTCAAAAGTCTCAGTGACTTACACCAGAATCACTTATCATAATATCAGTTTTGTAAACGATCTATTGTATATTTATGACAACAATTTTAAAAACTATCACTAATGTTATTCTTTTTTTCTTTTTTTGAAAAAATTTCCCAACTATTCCTGCTGAAACGAAACTGTAGATCATTTTAATTCAATAAATCAACAAACAGAAAAGTTCCAACAGTTGAAAGCATGAGCCAATTGAAGCTAGATCATCATGGACAACCTGAAAGTATTGGACGGCCGTTTCGTCCTATTGTGAGATCCCTCAGCAGTGCTCATCCACGACCCAGCCTCATGGGATTCGAACCCAGGATCTATCGGTCTCGCGCCAGGCGCTTAACTGACTAGACTACTGAGTCGGCATCCAATGGTGTTAATGTCTAACCTCAACTAATCCACGAAATTGAGCAGGATCATGGATGCGCACTGCTGAGGAGTCTCATATTAGGGAGAAACAGCCGTCCAGTACTTCCAGGTTTTTAATGGCGGTTCAGCTTCAAGTGACTCATGATTTGAACTAATGAAATTACCACAATCTTCACAAAACCCCTTATGATACTAAACTGAAAAATTATCAGAAATAGTTTATGTGAAGATTATAACAATTTAATAATTAAGTGCAAGTTTTCCATGATGATCTTGCTTTAATTGATTCATCAATTCAACTATTCAATTGAAAAATGTCAGATAAACTAGAATAACTGACAAAAAGATTTCTCTATTCTTTATTTTTATTGTTGTGCTGGAATGAAACCTTTTATTAAAATATTTCCTATTAACACATAAATCTTTATGTAATTCATGTTTTTAAGTAAAGAAATTCTAGTTTCACGTAAGACTTAAATTTTGAACAATCCTTTAGAATGTTAGTTTTTTATCAAGCATTATTCCTTAACGACGTCCAATTTCCCTTCAAGATTATTTATGACGATTGTATGATCTATTAGAGTTCTATCTTGACTGCCAATATAAAAAGAATATTATAATGGAAAAATAAAAAAAAGACGATTGATCATTTTGTTTATATTATAGAATCTAATTTTTTTTAAGAAAAAAAGTACGGGAAAATTACATTCTCTTAACAACAAACTATCTTACAATGGACAATCAACAATTAAAAGTTACCTAATCTACATTAACATTTTACATATGAAAATTGATTAACGAAAATGAATTATTGATTAATTTTCTAGTCAGTAAATATATTTGATAGAGTAAACTATTTTTAATGCAAATATGTTTTGTCAAACTATTTAGTTTCTAATGTTGATCATTATTCATTTGAAAGTTGCATAATGTACAGGTAAGTTGAATAATTGTATTTTTAATTGATCGTTGATTGAACTGTATAGATCATGAAACATTGTGTGATTAATTCAATTTAGAGTTATTTGTTTATTTAAAGTGGATTAGTTCCATGTTGAATGTTATAGTTGAAAGGACATCAACTAGAAATATTTGATGGATGTGACTCTAAAATGAACATACAGTTAAGAAATTACTTAGAATTATTCGGAGTGTACATCGACGTTGATCAGTCTTCAAATTTAACTTCTTTTGCCTTTCATACAAAAATATATGTTATAAAAATAAATACGTAGAATAATTTGTACTTTGTGTGTAGTTTCGATCTGGATGATTTAGTCGTGAAGCTTTCATTGTTTTTCAAAAGATATAATGGAAGCTCCAAGACTAAACTATCCAATTTCGAGA